CTAGATTTCGGTATATTTACCATTACTTTAGTTATGTTTCAAGGATTATTTAGTTCTAGAAATGCATAAGGATGATGGATCGACCATTTTAGTTCCCAAAACAAACGTACAGAGCCTCTCTAGGGACACTCCAGCTTGATATAAACAACAAAACACATATACAACTCAATCGCTGAGAACAGTCATCTAGCTTGCCTCTACTAAACTGTTATATATGTAGTTGTTTGGTGTTTTTAGTGTGATCTAGCTAAAATAAAGGTGCACCATCCTTCAAATTCCAACCAACTAATCTCTTCTAAATGGTTTTGTTTATACTAGTTCACAAAATATGTGGACATAAAATATGCACTCATGCATAGGTTTTGAAATGGATATAGGAAACCCCAACACAGGCTTACTTAAGGGTTTTGTCCCTCAATTTGGGAACAAAGAATTCTTTTTCTAGATTTTTTATTAGGTTATAAAGATATGATCTTAGATTAGATTGCTTTATCAAATATATTAATTGTATTCAACGATGTGTCAGCAGGTCACTTGCTAGCCACCTTTTAGTTGCACATAAGCAGCAGCTGATTGGTGAAACTATTACTACTATACAAGACCAAAGAACCATAAATGAATGTTATCTATTAAAATATCATGTACTATGTTAATTATGCAAACCTATAGAAATAATGATTCTATCCTTTTAATAGTAATGTTAAATGCTTCTAAATAGCTTTTTAGAGATAAAAGACACTTTAAAAAAGGATGAAATGCTAAACAGCACCTGCAGAAATCAAAACATTTGCATTAAGCTGGAGGTTGAAACAAGAACATTTTCAGATTATGAGAACACGAGAAGATGATTGTTACATGTGATAATACACGTGAGGGGACTTTGTCGTATGCATGCGACTTGGCCCGTTTCTTAAAATAAAGGTATTTTCGTTTGAAACCTTCCGTATTAGTAATTACACGTTATTATGTTGTCAGTCTGTTAATGAAATACTTGCCTTTAGTTCTAGTTTTCGGTGATCTGCAACAAAGCAAATTAGAAAAGGAATCCACTAGGGTTGCAGTCAAAATTTTGACACTTCTGTCGAGGGTTGTGTTTTCTGAAGATGGAAATTCGATAAGCTTTGAAAATGCATAAACTTGTATGAAATTTTAGCTGTTTTCACACTGAATGTTGAGGTTTCTTGATACACAGATACTTGATCTCTTAATGAGTACTCAACTGATTTTGCTTTTAGCTTTTGTGAAGCATGCAGTACCCTCTTCCAAGGAAGGATTTGGGAATCTTGGGAGTCTCTAGAATTAATAGATGATTTCCATATCTCCCTAATAAATATGTAGAGAACATTTTATAGCAATATAGAAGTATAGAGAATCTTGGATTCTGTTGAAGGTGATCATTTCATATCTTTTGGAAACCCTAGTAATCTAGAATTTCTTTTACAAGATTCGGGCAATGAATGATTGGTTTGGTTTTACAGAATTCATGTCTCTTAACTTTCACAGAGATCGTAGGATATAATGTTAAATCTTCCGAATATCTTTCTAAAATATCCTTCTAAAAGAAACACATGCAGAAATCAATCTTAAGCTTGCAGATTTATTTGGTATCATTTGGGAGGACTTGATATGACACACTACCAAATACGAGACCTTACCTACGGATTTTTCATGAGAAATCCGTCGCTAAAGGAGTGATTCATCACAAAACCGTCACAAAAGTTGGTGGATAATTCATATCGATGACAAATTACATTAGATTTTGCTGAAACATTAGATTCTGCTGAAACCATTAGATTCTGCTGAAACCATTGATATTTTCTTGGTAATCCGTCCGACGGGAATTTCTGTGAGTGATTTTTTTTGGATAAAAGTCATTTGTTTTGTAGTGACAATATTTTTGGTGGAATACTTGTCATGGGTTCTAATTACTGTCTATCGATCACCAGTAAGGCTAAAAAGGAAACTGTTAAGATCACAGTCCAAGTTTTGGAAAATCTATCAAGGGTTTGTGTCTTGAAGACCAATGTTTGATAAGCTCTAAAATTGATTGCATATAAATGCATAAATTCATGAATTTGTTGCCCTTTTCACAGTGAATATCAAGGTTTCTGATATCGTTATATTCTCCTTTCTACAGTTATCATTTTTATGAGCTAGGTGACCACTTGGGTCCCGGCAGATCCAACCTTCAAGGTGTAGTTGTCTGTGAAATCACAAATTTTTTCGGTCAATATAATTTCAGAAAAAGGTTTAACGTCTTTAAAATGAAACCATAAGATTTTTTTGGATGAAACTATAAACTTTAAAACTTTTAGAGTTTCTGTATGAAAATTTAAGGAATAAAATTACACTCCAAGGGTGGTGGTTGGGATAAGTTAGGGTTTTTATCGTTCAAAGATTTTAATTAATTAATAATTAAAATATATTAAAAATGTGTATTCTCTTTTTACAAATTATATCGTTATAAAAGTCTCCTCCATATTATTCTTAAAACTAATTATATTTTTACTGTTAACACAAATAAAAAAATCACATATTTTAACGTTAATACATTTTCCCCTATATTTATCGTTGATTATTCTTGAATTTTTCTAATATAATTTAGCGTGAATAATAAAATGAAACATTTTCTTAATATAACGTGAATACAAATTTTTATTAACGTCTTTTTGGTTAAGGTTAATTTGTATATTATGAACGTAAATAGTGTTACATAATAACATGTTAACCAACTATCTAGTGTTATTTTGTGTATAATTGACTCTCTCTATAGACTTTAAAGTTATTTGTTTAGAGTTAACTTCCGTCAATTTTAGACTTCAGGTTTTTCTTTGTTAATTATGAACTAACTGATCTGTAGGTTAGTTTATTTATATTTGGGGTTAATTCTTTATATTTTAGAGTGAGTTTGTTTATATTTGAGGTTAATATATTGAACTTGAACCGATCATGTAGATCACCAAGCGGAAAACTAAAAATACACCAACAATCGATTGATTTTAAGAGTTCTAAGAGATAATTTTTTGAAAATAAACTAGTGTACCAAGGACTCAAATACTTAACGTATATTTAATTAATGGACTCAGAACAGCCAAAAACAGAATTTGTGCAATTTAACAATTTTATGATTAATTATAAGTTTTTTATATCATGATAATTATTTTGTAATACCGTTGTCAAACAAATTCTAGACCCACCGATGCTTGGGTCTTTTGACTATATTATCCTTTTATCAAGTCGAGTTCTGAAATAAGAAACATGGCATAATCACAAGCTCAATCATGCCAAGGTTCCTTGGTTATTATTGCCTACAGATTTTCCCTGGAAACTCCGTCGTTAAGGTAGTGTTTGGTACGCAGACTGGATGAGACAGGACGGAACGGTGCAGGATAGGACTAATTGTATGTCCTATGTTTGGTACAACTTGGATTGGACAGGACAGAACAAAACTATTAAAATGACCATATTACCCTTAAATATTGTTCAATATTATTTTATATCATATAATGATTGTAAAATGACAACAAAACAATCAAAATATTGTCCTTTTAACTTTAGTCCCATGTTGTTCCACCTTTTTTGGTGGAACAAGAAATATCAAGATTTGTCCTACTAAAATTAAAAATAGTCTCACATTGTCTCATGTTTTTTTTTGTCCATGGCATGCCAAACATGGGACTATTTTTTTGTCCCGTCCTGTCCCATGTAGTCTGCATACCAAACACACCCTAAAGGGTGGATCGTCATTAAAGTTGGTAGTTAAATTGCTAATGAGTAATTCAAATCAGTGACAAGTTACTCAGGTATCCTCTTTGTGATCGGTTGGTATTCTATCTAATGTTTTCTAAAAAAAAATTAGATTCTACCAAACCATTGTTGTTTTCTGATGATCCATCAATAATCACCAACTGAAATTTATCTCGGTGATTTTTGTGGGCAAAAAAAATTGCATACCTATCACACCCAAACCAGGTTATGTCCTGGCCTAGCTAAGATCATACCAAACATGGGACAATAAATTTGTGTATTGTCATGTCTCGCGTACAAAAAGCACCCTGAAGGTAGACCAGTTACCAAGGCTGCCCCGTTGACCATATATATATATATATAGACTTGGGATCGTGTGAGACCAAAGGTTTTTCGTGAGAGCCGTAAGACCGACTTCCCAATCAAATTCGTAACTGTTTAGTTAAAGTAAGAATTGCTTACTGAGGATTCTCTCTAAAGAAAAGGGATTATAAATAGAATTCGATTCAAACACTGTACCTATGGGATAGAGGAAGAGGAGACAAGGAATTTCGCTACCTTAGGACCGTTATAGTTACGGCCGCCGTTCAAACTGTCATCCCATTTAATCCAATCGGGATGTTCTCTTCTTCCCTCAAAGTTATGGAGTAAGACATCGTTATCGTGCCCACGGTAAACGCTGGGAAGGAGCTCCCATCAAAATTCACTATGAATCTTTGGGGGGGCTGTTCTTATTTTACCAGAGGGTTTTGAATTAGATTTTTTTTGAAACTTACGGTTAATTGTGTTCAGATAAAATCCTATATCCTTTTCATTTGAAACCTTGGCACAGCTCTAAGCGACGACTCTCTAGGATGATCAGCCACACTGGGACTAAGACACGGCCCCAATTCTTGACTGGGGGGGATACCAACCCTTGTATTAGATCTACAATCTGACAATCTGAACATTCATAAACACCGCGAGACTTCTCAATAATCACAAAATTACCACCGTGCAACTTTAGACCATTAGATCATTAGCTTATAAAGTTGATCAATGAACATAAATTGGTCTTACGGGTCTCACAGAAAACCCTTGGTCTCACGATATATATATGAGGTCCTAGTAACCAATCAAGCTATATTTGGTCCAAGATCACAACAGATCCTGGTCCTTGGACAGGTGAGTCCAGGGCCGACCCTGACCAATCGCTTCGGTGCACCTTGGTGGGGTGCAGAAAGTCACAAAGCATCACCGGGTGGAGCAAAGTTGATCACTTGACAATGGTGCCTTACATTAATGGCAAAAACATTGAATCCTCTTCAATTTACAGAAATTTCTTTGTGCTAATACCATAAAATGAAGAAAAAAAGAAAACTGCAGGGCCAAAAGCTCGAAAATCAAAGACTCAGCATACGCAAGAACGTTCACTTCTTTTAGTGGATATGATGAGGACTAAAATGATTGTCGGGCTATCCAAGCAAAAACCTGAATAAATCAGTTAACGAAATGATGCCCTCTACGCGCTTGCTTCCTGCTTCCACTATAACAAGTCTCCTAACTCCTGAAAGTAGTTCATCAACAAGATTACAGGAAATGAAGTTCTGAACCAACGAGTTACCAAACCACACGAGCCCAGGAGGTGGGATGGGGTTCAAAAACATGCAGATTTGACCTCTACCACAAAGAGTAGATCTGCTGTTTTTTAACTTGCCCAAGTGAGGATTCTAAAATTTGTTGCTGAAATTAATTACCAGGAATAGCGAGCCTATCCATAACTTTATGCAGCGGATCAGATCTCAAACACATATGACATCTTTGTCCGTTAAAAAATCCATATGTTGCACTTGCTTCTTGAGTGAGTTGTAATGCCTGCACGTATATACACGTATATATGTCTATCAGGATATTTTAGACAAGCTTCTATACATAAGCTTCTATGATATAAAACTGCACTATAGAATGGAGCAAGCCACAAATTATGCAGTGAACTTATAGATTGGATCGACCTAGGAATATGGAACAAAATCTCTCCAATTTTCACTGAGATGTCATATGTGCATGTCTATGGAGTATGTTTCCATACAATGACTTTTTCAGTAGGCCCTGTACATTTAATTTTTCCTTTATACGGTTTATTTTGAGAGAATAACCTTTGGACAAATTCTTTTAAATGTTTGACCTTCTGACAGATACCGAGGCATTTTTGTGTTAGAAAGAGCCGTTCTTACATATTTTAGAACAAAAAAAGGCCTCTTCCTAACACAAAAATGCCTCAATATTTGTCAGAAGGTCATGCATTTTATAAAAAAATGTCCGAAGGTTATTCTCCTAAATAAACCCCCATTCTTATACTCAGCTGAGAAACCTCAACACCTCACCTGTGTGTGTATGTGTATGTGTATGTGTATGTGTATGTGCATGTTTGTGTGCATAGATGACAAGTGAAAAGCTTAGATGTGGTTCCCTTATCCACCATAAGTACAAAATTCAACAATCCTCCCTCCATCACTATAAATATTATAACATTCACTAGAGATGTCCCATGAAAATTGTTACATTTCCTTGGGCTCTCTCATTATCAAAATGTTTTTTTATGTTGATAAATAGTCAAATACTTCAGTAAAATGCATTGAATAATAAGTTAGGTCTATAGAGCTACAAGTCATGAATCTGATGACATCAGAACATATGCAGAACCTTATTACCTACCTGATGAATGCTGAGTTCATTAAGGTGAATCTGGGCATATGCTCTGTCTTTGGCCAAAGCAGTGATGTCACTGTCAATGTAAAATGCCAAAAATAACCATATATTTTTAAGAGAAACTATATGAAGAATAGCAAGGATGCATGTAAGATATCAAACAATTCCAGTGCGGTAAGCCAAAATTTACCTTCGGCAGTATATGTCCAACAATGAGTCATTATCATCCACTATAGGCACTGCACTGACTTCAGCTGTAGCACGAAATAAGCAAATTGTAAATGAATAGCTTATTGGATATACTTCCACTTGTGAATCGAATCGCAAAAATGTAAGTTTTTAACATGATGTTGCGAAGAAAATTGTCGAAACCGTTATGCCGGGAGGGGTATGCAAGACACTACTTGTTCCATGAAAAGCTGAAATTGAATAAAACCAAACCAAACGAACCCGGTATATCCCACACAATGGTACGATCGGAGGGATAGAACATACCGTTACCATGAAAAGGAAAAAGAGACAAAATTGAATACTGAAGTTCATATTGAGCTTAGGGCAATGTACTTTCATTAAGGTAAAGCTGTGGGGTTTGTCTTGCCACGTCTCATTAGGGTCTTCTGTTTATCTTTCCCATAACAAATGCATGTAGGTTCTTAACTAACGTTCTTATCAAACTACAGGGCTGTTTGGTTGGTTTTCCATCAAGTTCTGTATGTATAAAGCCAACTGTGTACATTAATGTCTGTATAGTTTGGGAGGGTTTTTTCATAGATGGAAGAAGCGTGTTTTTTGATTGGGAGAGGCAGGTTTGGAAAAACCTTGGATTTCTGCATAAAGCTCCCCCTAGAAGCTTATCGAATAAGCCACTTTCTAGATCATTAAACCACTACCAAACAGCCATTTATAGCTGACCGAATAAGCTATGAGTCCTATTAAGCTCATTAAGCTGTTAACAGACAGGCCCTACAAGGAGCATCATCCTCATCTAAGCATTGCATCATTCAAAGAATTTGAAAAAAAGAAACAGGACAAGCATAAAGAAAGATAAGAACATTTTTTAAGTCATCCTACATAGTGGAATTGTTGATTTTCTTGAAGAGAAGGCTGAAACTTTTGTGATTCGTAATAAAGTAAATTCACCATATTTTGAAAATCGAAGCATCAAGTTTATATCCAATCTTAAAGATTCAGACAACCTTATAGTAGGTCAAGAGGCAACCGGTCAGATAAACCGATATATTCTACAGGAAATCCAACTACATGTTGTGATCACGTGATGAAATACATCGAATACCAGGAATTCGTGATACGAAAGGAAGGGTATGTAACAACAATATCGACTATGTACTTGGTTGCATTGAGGAATTTGAGTTATTGTTATTTCTGGACATCCCATTACAACAAAAGTTATGGAGGTGGGTGGGAGGAAAGTTACCTTGAACTAATAGAGACAAGGCATCACTAAGAGAAGCATTTGCTCTCAACATGGCAAACGGATGTCCATTTGATTCCCCAATCTTGGGAACCCATGTGCCCAAAGGAATTGAACAGATTGGTTGTTGAAGAATTGGCAAAGAGGTAGGTGAATGTTTAAAATGTCTGCAGATACCTGGAATGTGTTGCTTTGTTAGTAACAGATCATATGAATTGAACCGCTATCTCGAAGAAAAGCTTACATTTTAGAACACCGGTTAGGGAAGCCAAATGTAGCAGCTGGGGTATTGAACCATCCCATGATATAACTGGAACAGTAGCAACCTTGTTTTGCAACAGTTTCAAAGCAACATCTTTTAACGAATCGTGAGGCCCAGCCTGCATGAAACAGAAGTTTAGCTATGTAAGGCCAAGTCTAACGATCAGAGGATCACAAGTTAATGACCATAAAACATGGTTTCACATATGCAGATTAAGTTGAAAAACTTGTTATCTTTTACAAAATATGAAGTCACTGTTCAGGGGAGGCTCCTCCTAACATCCTAATCTAATCATGAGGTCGTACTTCGCCAAAGCACCACTGTAAATAAGCTAAGCATCAGAAAGAACAGTAATTACTCGGATGGTACACTCAGAACAACACATATCAGCACTCGAAACCTATAAAGGGAGAATAACATTTTGGGCTGATTACCAGGAAGACGACCATATTATAGTGACTGCCCATTTTACGAACAATATGATTAGCCAATTTGACAGACATCAGGTACAATATTGACCAACTAAATATTCCATTGACATGGTACTTACATATCATGCCGAAATGTTTGTGTACAACAGGAATACCATATGACACATCCAGTCGCTAAAAACTGACATGGCTGCCTACTTGTTTATGGAAAATAAATAAATAAATAACAAAATATGGTAAAACACCCCACCCATCCTCCAATTCCACCATCACCACAATGACCCAACCCAAGCCCTCCTTTCCCCCCATCATCTTCTTCCCATCACCACCAAACAAAACCTAGAAATAAGAAACCAAAATATACACATCAGTCTAATTTTAATTTTTCCATTAGATCTTCAAAATTCAAGTTTCTTAATTTTCAAATCTTCAAATTCGGACAAAAATAATTTAATTAAAGTTCTGGAGATGGAGATGGTGTTTTGGGAAGGGGAGGAGAAGAGCAGAGGAGGACCTGGAATTTTTTTTCCAGCAGTGGCACCATATGACCATAAGGGTGCTAGAAATTTTTCACAAACTCATGGTAGATTAGTTGGTTGCTTGCTTGCCTTTGCAAGAGAAGGTCATGGGTTCGCCCCTCTCCTTGCTGCTTCTTTTTGATTTTTTCACAAAAGGTATAGAAACCAAAAATTGAAAGGTGAAAAACTGGAAATTTGCTAACAGGATCTGAACCCCCGACCATTCAAACAAGAAACCGGCAACTTAGACCATCTGAGCCATCCCAAACTTCTGTCATAAGTTTAGTTTTAAGAAATATAGGGGCACACAGCAAAGAGGAAGTGGAGACTTTGGAAGGGGCGGCAAGAGACTGGAAGAACAGATAGGAGGGATCATGGGCCTCAGAGTGGGTTGTGGACAGGGAGGGGGCAGTCACCAGGGCTGGCTGCAGAGATAGGAAGGGAGGGGACCAGTGATGAGGGCTGGCTGGGTGAGAGGATGGAAGGTTTTTTTT